CTCTGGCCTGCTGCTATTCTGGAGCAGGGTGCTCTGGGCCTCTTCTTAAAATAAATTCTTTCCTCTTTGCAACCTTGAGGCTGAAAAGGCTGGAGCCCTGCTAGCTTCCATAATGTCCACAGGCCATTTTTCCATTGCTCTGTCCCCCTCTCAGCAGCCATGTTGTCCTCTTCTCTGGCTTTTCAGTTCTTACCTTTACTATATCTTCCCTTCCAGCCAACTTCACAATGTTCTAATCATTATGCTGGAGTTTTACCTTTTGATTTTGAACACAGATCTGACTCAAAGCCCCCAGTGCTAGCCATGCCACTGCCCCTACATTACACTGCATTGAAAGTTTGCCCACCAAATTAATTAGTCTTATGCTCTTCATTTCAATCTCAAGCAAGCTCTCTGGACACCAGAAAAATGCAGATAAACTTTCTGCCGATGTGTAAGTCATACTGTCTGGAATCCATCAGTTAGTGCAGTCCTTCTTCCCAGTACAAACCTCCTGCACACAGTCTTTACTGCCAGCCTTCCTAGCAAACTTCTGGTCTTCTGAGCTCTTACCAGCATCTCCCCTCAAGTATAGCTTAAGGCATTCGAGGGCTGCTTCTTCAGCCCACATGTTTAGGTTTCCCAAACTCTCTTTCCAAGCCAGGTCCAGAGACCTCTGAACTGTATGGTCAGGTAGTGCCACAGCAGTGACCCCACTCAGTACCAAATCCTGCCTCAGTTATTTTTTTCATTGCTGAGATAAAATATAAACATCCAAAGTCAATGGAATAAAGGAGAAAATGCAGGAAAGGCTTATCATAGCTTACAGTTTGTAGAAATTTCACTTCATAGCTGACTCCAAGTCAGTGCAGGAGGGTAGCAAGGCCTCACACAGGAGAAACAGCTCATGACTGCAGAAGGCTGCAAAGGAGTAAGTAGCAGCAAGCAGTGACCAACACCTGACAATGCTCTTTCTGTATGTTGCATCCTACGTAGGCTCCCCACCTTGGAGCAGGTAGCACTGACATTCAGGGTGGTGTAGCCCTAATCCTAGCACTGCACCATCAATACCCTGGATCCCAGCACCACTCACCCCAGACTCAGCCACCTCTCAAAGGACTCACGGATGATTGCGTGAGATTTTAAGAAGACAAATAGACACAAGCCATCACAGCAGGGACAGTGACTGGAGACTGATGAGTTGTCCGGAAGAACTCCATGGTGGGGGCCCCTGAATTCAGAGCTCTGAATGAAATCAGAATTTTGCATACTGGGAATCAAAAGTGGCAGGAGAACAAGGTATGATTGGTTGAACTTGTGAAGAAATGGTAATGAAAAAAATCAACATAAAAGAAAGCGGAGAGAGACAGGAGACTGCAGAGAAGGATAAAACTAAACAAAATCAGAGAACAGTAATAAGCATTACGATTTTGAGGCATTATAAAATAAGTATGGTATGATTAACTTCTAGTTTTAATTTTTAAATCTCAGTATATCAATATATCAATTTGTTTAAAAGATAATTATATTTTCTGTGCATTCTTTTTCCAGTTTATCCTGTTAAAAAACAAAGAACGAAAATGTTGGAAGTATCAAATGACATAATTAAAACTAAATACTAATTCACATAAGGTTCAAGGTTTAGACATTGTTCTTTAAAATATGAAAAGAGAAAATGATTTTTTTCCAGGCAGGCACTCATGCTGCTAGGCTATCTCCCCAGCCCTATGTTTTATTTTTTCATAATAGATCATGTTTCTCAGATTAACACCCTAACATTACTTTTTAAAATTTTATTTATTTGTGTGTGTGTGTGTGTGTGTGTGTGTGTGTGTGTGTGGCCAGCTCAGCACACCAAGGGGCAGGGCGGGCTGGCATGTCAAGCTGGGGGATTGAACCAGGGTTCCTGTGCTTTGCTAAGCTTGTTCTAAGTAGGTGCTTTAGACCACTGAGCCATCTCACCAGCCCAACACCCCAACATTATTAACAAAAATAAAAACTTTTGTCAAAAATTATATTGTTGTACACAAACCAAGCACAAAGTTATACTTTTTAATTTAATTCCATTATTTATTTATTCATTTATTTACTTTTATGTATTTGGTACAGGGTCGCACTACGCAACTGGGACTCAAAGTGATCCTCCTGTTTTCAGCCGCCCCAGCACTGGGACTACAGGCATCAGTCACCATGCCCAGTCTTGGCAGCCCCGTCAGCACTCTCGTGGGCGGGGTCTGCACTGCATACGTTGCCCATGATTGAAACCTGGTACTTACACTTGCCTAAGCAGGCATTAGTCTGATGAGCTATCTCACCTACCTAAGTTACAGCTTTTAAGCTCGTATGTTTTAGTTAGAGCTGTCAAGTACAAAGACTCAGCAGACCCATACAGGCATCTAAGAGTGTATTTGTTAAGGCCTTCATGTGTACGATATGCAGTTTATAATAGTTGGTGATGTTCTGTAAGCATTGCCAAAAACAATGGTGCTGGGTGCCTCATTGAGTCTAAGACAATGACCTGGACTGGAACGGGGCTTGTTCTTGCTGTATGTGATGGAGACCAAAGGACCAAGATGAGGGGAAGACCACTTAATGATGGCTCAGTGTCGGAAGATGGAGTCCTAAAGGTTGGAGCAGAAAGTGAGGGAGAGACAGAGGAAAAAGGGGGAGAGAGACAGAGAAACAAAGAGAGAGGAAGAGAGACAGAGAGAGCAGGGAGAGAGAGAGAGAGAGAGAGAGAGAGAGAGAGAGAGAGAGAGAGAGGGGAGAGAGAGAGAGAGAGAGAGAGAGAGAGAGAGAGAGAGAGAGAGAGAGCGCAGAGGCACACACACAGAGACAGACACAGAGAGAAACAGAAAGAGACGGACAGAGAGAGTACTGGCTTCCACAGTCAAGAGGACAGATCTTTCTTCTAATTCAACAGGAGGATCTTCTGGAAACACAGACATGCAATAACATTATATCATTATTTTCTGGCCATCTGTTAGCCAGCAAATCTCTTCATCCACTCAAATAAATACATAAAACTAAGTGCCTCATTAGGATATAATATTTATGTTTGGAAAAAATCTAAAACATCCACTTTGCATCATGAGGCCCCAGTGGCTATTATTTTCATGAGACCCTTGTGAACAATTTTTCATTTATGGGCATCTCTGACCTGGTGCCTACATATTTATATTAATTTGAGGCATGGAGAGGAACACTTGCACTATGGTTACACAATCAATATCCTTAAACATGGTATAGACAACAAAATCCAGAATATTTTAACCACTCTTACTCTGCATTCATCACAGGCATAGTGTTTTCTGTTTTTGTTTTATACAAAAGGGTTGTACACAAGTGACAGTGTTACTGTCAATTGCATCTCAGGAACTCCAGATTAGAGTGGCCAAGTTGGTTTGGGACCAGCTGAAGAGAAACTTCACACCATAGCACCAGGGTTGTTTTGGGAATACCCAGAGGATCTCCACAGAAGAGCAGCTGATTTG